CCTTGGTCTGGACCTACTGAATGCATTTGTCTTCCGGAGCAGGTTCTGGGCGCGTCCTCATATTCTCTAGTTTGGCCTGTGAGACATTAGTTCCATTTAATTCCATCATCTCCCCGCATTTGCACAAGCAGAACTCAACGGTAAGGTCAGGGAAACTCAAAGACGACGAGCTTGTTTACAACACAGGGATTTCGCAAAATGCAGCCCGTTTTGCCTACCCCCAAGTACAATCCTTGGCGAGGAACCCCATCCCACAAAGGGATGAGCAGTTTCTGTTGCCCCTTTCTTTGTTGGGATCCGAGTTGTATATAGAGACCTCTTATATTGGCTTTAGGGTGCGGCGTTTAGGGTTCGAAAACAGGATGGGCGAAGCATGGTACGTACCTCTTTGAAGCCAACGCTCAAGGCAAAACTTACTCCCCGGCACCTGGAGGGAAATGGGGAGCGAGGGAGGGAATCGGAGTTGCAACCTGCCTATGACCCGCTGAACCTGTCCAAAAAAAAGATGACAAGCTCGAAGATCTTGCAATGTGTATTTACGACATGTCACTGCGTGTCCAATCACCCATTCATCACATATACTTCCGCAACCTGCAATGGTAAAAGTACTGCACAATTGCCAACGCTTTTCTGTACCTGCATGTTCTGGGCATGGGGTTCTGCAGGTCTGGGGGACAGGGCAGGCTCCTACAAAGTTGAATGTTGACTTCTGCGCAGACTTTCGCAATGTCAAGGCTGTAGTATTAGTATTCCGTCGTTAGGCACTGATTCAGCTTGTACTTGTACGATCTTGTACGGTTACGACTGGACAAAATCCAGGCATCGCTTGGGGAATGCGCAGAGAGCTCAACGGTAAAAAGATGAATCCTGAAGCCTGAAGGCCTCGCTTACTTGGGGTTGCTAGGCTCATCCCCGGGGCTCCAGGCTCTTCTAAAAAATGGCACAGATCCGATATGCTGAGCCAAGGCCCTCAAACCCTATGCCTAAAGCAATGCTATTGGGGTTTTGTCAGGCTGGAGAACCTTGTACTGACACCTACACCCTAAGCCATTCTAAGCCCTAAGTTGAATCAATGGAGGTGAGGTCCCCATGAACTATGACTATTGCCTGCACATTCAAGCATTCTCATTTGGGAATCTGAGACTGCTCGATGCTGTGGAAGTTTGGAGTTTGGAGTGCTTGGTGGGGGGTCTGGGTAGCAGATCAGGGCCGTTTATTTGGGGAGGGGAGCTTCCTGCCGGCCGCCCGTGTGCAAGCCCCAAGCGCTACGCCGTGCGAGGCATAGGCATACATCGTCTTGAAGAGCGCACGGGTAGTGACAATCCGTTCGCAGGCAGGCTGGCATTTGTCAAAGCAGCGTAGGGTTTGGGGGTGACCTAATCTGAAGCGTCTGAAGGGTTTACATTGGCGTTATCTCAGGACTATAAGTATACGGATGTGGGGCCTAAATCAAAAGCATCTGATCATGTATCTACAGACTATAGGAGCTTATTGGCTCATCGGGTGTGATTGTATAGGGGAGTTCCCTGGCAAGGTATTTTAGATTCGTTCACAATTTTTTGAGATTCGCTGCGAGCACCTCGCCCGAACTAATTTGGAGGATCTTCAGATATCTGCTTGCTGTATCGTCCAGGGAACAATGGGCTTGTGCCTGTTCTGCAACACAGCCCTCAACATTGTTAAGCTTCGCTTGCAAGGACACCTGCGCTTGTTTTCAATCGTTGGGCCGCCTTTTCAAAGGGGTTGTGGAGGGAATGCGGATCATGATTCCCTGGCAGGTTTCGAAGCTCAAGTCAATGGAGAGGCTTGCCACATTTATGCTGTTGACTGGGATGGAGATGGTGACGCAGACTTCATGCACCTCTGCCAGCGTGGTGTGAGCCTTGAGTACTCAATTTTTCCAAGAAGCATTCCTTTCAAGAAGTGCAGGTGTTAGGATTCGGGTTCTCACAGCCACCAAAGGGGGCTATCCAGAAAATCAGGTCACGGAGATCTGTTTCAAATGTTGCTTCTGCATCCCAACTCCAACTGTCCCGCGGGTGTGTGACAACCGCGGCTTCAGTTTCGCGAAGATGACGTGTTCAAAGTCAAAGCTAAAAACGTGCAATTCCATCAAGACAGGTTGCTTGTTATCCGGGACAGAGCCGTGGACATCTGAGAAGGCAGCTAGCACAAAGAACCCCAAGTGTTTATCAGATGAAAGCCTAACAGGACCATCATGAGCCCACCAGGAGATGCTACTTTTGCTGATTGCGTGTAATGAACAGTATAGTCCTGACAGTATAGTCTTGAACACAAGTCAATCAGGAGTTGTCCCATCAGCAGGGGCATCTCTAGGGTTTTAAGCAAGGTCCGTGGTCCAATGTGCACGCTTTTTTCTCCGGATCTCATGGGACCCCAGGTACGTAGACTTACAGGACTAGGGGCGGGTCTTCGACCCAAAGCCCTAAATAGTGAATCGGTGCAAGGTATGTCGGCGAAAATCTTCGGTACTTCGAGCGGACGGAGCGAGGGACATTGATACATAGACAGCGCCACCTGAGCTTTGGCCTGTTTCGCAAATTTTCTGGGGGTGTAGTCGATGCTGGGGTCTTTTCCGTGACGTTCACTGCTGTGGGGCTGCTAGATTTTGGACTAAGACATATTCTCCCCGTCAATTTTCAGATTTTCAGTCGGTAGCTGACGGATCCTTCAGTGAGTTCCCATCGCGACCGGGCTAGATCCTTGCTGGTGCCCCTGCTTCTTTCTTCGTGCTTGCAATCGTTCATCTCAACTACTTGAGAGCCACTGGGCCTGTTTTTGACACTCGTCCCAGCAAGACCTTTCAAGGAGTCCGTTCTATGACCTTCAACGGCAGCTGTGCTGTTGGCAATGATTTCTTTTGTGAGTAATATACAAAATGATGAGGTTTTGGGGGTATGTTATGCCACGATTATCTAAGGGTCATTCAGGCTTTACATTATCCAGCCACCTTCTTAGTGGTGAGCCAGGAAAGATGTGGATCTGCAACGGGTCAGCGTGCCTTGGTGTTGCACCAGCCATGCGAACTTTGTTTGGCCATAGGTTCGTCGGTGCCTGTACCGTCTGAGTCTGCGGTTGCCGATTTCGCATTCATGCGAACATATAAGTCTTGGGATTGGGTTTACAGCTGCTGGCTGATTCACCACGGCTGCTTTCGTTGCTAGCCCTTGCAGACGCATTATGTCTAAACAAGCATGTTGAAAATCAGGCATGCGCCCATCATGTCCTTAGAGTATTGTATAACACATTTTGCAGCGCTTGATTTCGGATCGCGTCCACACAAAAGGCACAAAAGGCGCTAGCATGCCAACAGTAGGACTGCGCAGGCTGTAGGGGGGGCCTAATCAAGTGCCTTCGCCTGTCACCCATTGTTGCCATTATCGAGCACACGCCCGCCGCCCGCAATTCCAAGAGAAAAAACGTGTCTCCGCACATGTTAGGTGCATCCCATGGAATATTTGGCAACAGGCGTGTTCATGATGGACACCCACCTGCCCAACCCATAATGCATGATTTGGGGCTGTTAACTCCGGAGTTTGAGATAGGGTGGCCTGTACCTTGCCATGCCCATGCCTGCTCGGGCCCACAGGAAACGTGCGTTTGAGTGTTCGAGCAAAATGGCCCCATGAAAAGATATGTAACTCACGTACACCATCAGGTCATAGCAATGTTGTGTGGTCCTGTGAACAGATCTTTTGAGTTGGAGTTGGGTTTTAAGTCAGCCCTCTTCAAATTCTATACTGGCAGTCCCGACTGAGTGCAGGAAACTCATGCCATGAAAGCACAGGGCTCGGTCAGGGGTCCGGTTGGAACCACGGACCCCAATACATGGGCCTGGATCAATGATATTTATGCTTCGTCATGGGCACGCTGAGTTCTTTTTGTGCGATACACATCCAGCAGCATGCCTGTCACCCGGAAGTTGGCCAGGACATGAGGCCTAAAACTTAAAACTGTCATATGACCGTTCTTGGGCTTGTTTTGCAGTGACTGCGGTGCTCGATGAGCCCAGCGAAACATGTACATTTGTTCAAGGGAGCCGTGCGACTGCTAAGTTCGTGGACTGGAATAGAGATGGCGACCTTGACATACTCGTGGGCCGTGCATCTTGTCTGATGTGGTTACTGTTGCAGGAAAGGTTGGAGTGCTCTTTGTTGGTTCCTCTGTTGGAGCGCCTGTAGTTAAAGAGATGCGCTGTCTTTGTGGGACAATTCTGGTGACCCTTGTTGTCAGGAGTCCAGCTGCCCTACTAGGTCTACTAAAGGCACCAGTCATCCACAGACTGTCCCATTTTCGGATTGAAAATTGAGCTTTTCATTTTGAGCGGAATGCCAAGCCTGGTCTGTCAGCCGTGACCAGTAAGTGCAACACATCTTCCTACTGTCCAGTTGGTGTCAAGCCGCAAAGCAATCGCCAGCAGCTGTTGCTTCAGGACAGCTCATTTCTTTGGTTTGATCCCTGGGTTGTAAGCTTCTCAAAGTGGTGCGTATAAAGTTGTTATGTATAAGGACCGGCAGAACACCGTGGAAGCGCACGCGCACGTTGTTTTAGGAATCGCCCTGATATCAAGAAATAATACTGCTTAAGGAATACGCCTCCACCCATGCTGCGATTCCATGTGTATCTTCCGGACTGTGATATGGTCGAAGCATGTTAAAGCTCATATTCTCGGCTGTCGGCTATCGAAAGGTTCAATCGAATTCGAGCCTGCGCTTCTTCGCGCGCGAGCGCATCCAGGACGTCGTCGAGTCAGAATGGACGGGCCCGCAGCATTGATCGACCGTGTACAATTTTAAGATGTGTTTTCTGCATGTGGAAATGTGGGTGGGTCTTTCTGCTGAAAATCTGTGCCGATGGGGATGCATCTGGTGAATATAGCAGGCCTGATTTCCTGGTAGCTAGGCAACATTGGTACCACTGCATTACGCAAAGGAGGAAGGCTTTTTTCGCATAGCAGAACGAGAGTCTGAGATCAGATCATGAGCTGGCCCTTTCTCTCTGCGCTGATCTTCAGCGCTGAGGCATGGCTTGGCGGAGCACAGCAACATGACGAGTCACTACGTGCCATGCGAGAGGGAGGGGAGTTCATCTTCATTGGGGTGTGTTCAGAAGGGTGAAGAATGTGACTAGGGCTGGAGCATCCAGATGTGCCATAGCCCCATCTCCAGATGAGGTTTCTCGTTCCAGGGCTCTTGCAACTGGTATTCAGAACATCCTCAAGTTGGGGCATACACACAGTTTGTTTCCATGATTTTTGTGGCTCCTGACAACTCTTTTCCCCAATTGCAGCTGGATTGAGGCTGTTGCTGCTCGGGGTCTGGCGCTGTGTGATTAACAGTTGCCATAACCGCTACGCCGTCACCGAACAGATTATTTCAACACATTACAAGTGATATTCTAATTTATCAGTTGTTCTCTGTGTGACTGTCAACAGCATCTACCAGATGGAAGGGTCCTCAGATCGCCAACAACATACTGTAAAAGATTCAGACTTTTTTAGGGACCCCAACGACCATGAGCCACCGCCACTTTGACTGGCTCAGCTGAAGCCGGGCCTTCTCACCGCAGGTACCGTGCGCAGTTGACTGGGATGGCGACGGTGACATTGACTTGCTGGCAGTTGTAGCTGATTTGGAAAAATTCTGAAGTTTGCCAGCATGGTTTTGCGTTTTAAGGCTTTAGTTCATTACATTTGTGCGCATCCGCTAGCTCAGGTTGGGTGTAGCAATGGCACAATCGCATACTACGAGCGTACGCCCCAAGGACCCTGGATCACCTGAAGCGACAGAGGTGTTGACTGTGGTGCTAGTCTAGTATTAAAAGAAGAGTGGAACCTTAGAAATACAGATGTTTCCGAAGGATTGTTTGAGAGGACTTGTTCACCACGTGGGAGCTGGAAACCCCTTCGATGGGCTCCGGGTTGACCTGATCGCTGTGCCCCGTGCTGTGGACTGGGACGCAGATGGTGACATGGACCTGCTATTGTCTGGCTTCCATGGCGTTGAGAGCGGAGAGTTCGAGGGCTGCCTGCGATACTTTGAGCGCCTGGCGGATGGAGGGTTGGTTGAGCGCGTTGGCTTTGACAACCCTTTCCACGTTTTCAAGCCGGACGGAGAAATGGTGGTGGTGCCCCGAGCCGTGGATTGGGACTCCGATGGGGACATGGACCTCCTAGTTGCAGGTTCGGGAGAAGCATGTCCTGAGTACCAGTGGACATACAGCCCTCTGAAAACTTAGACCACTGCATAACTACAGCAAAGTATACAAGGCACAGGACGAAGAGCTGCCACTTAGGTCAGTCTAGAGACTGGTACCAAGCCTTGTTGCTTTGGAAGCATAGTGTTCTCCACATCGCATCCTACTACTCTGCATTTGACGACCACCAACCTCAACCACGCTGTACGGACAGGCTCTTCGGGGCAAATCCGCTACTTTGAGCGTGTGGAGGGCGGGTTGTTGCAGGAGCGCTTTGATGCGCAGAATCCCTTTGAGGACTTGGTGCTGATCGCAAAGAGCTGTGTCTTGATTATAACAACAACCGGTATTACGTCATACACTCACTGACCGGAAACCAAAGCATGGACGAATGGGCCACCAAACGCGCAGGCCCTCAACCTTAAACGATTAGCTTTAGACTTTAACTCCATACTATACTGTAGCCCCTGGAGCCCCTTTGAAGGAATTGGATGTAGGGATGCAGGGCGTCTTGGAAGTCACAGATTGGGATGACGACGGGCGATTGGACATCTTGGTTGGAACCAGGTGGCCTGGGTGATTTTGGGGTCTATCGGGCTTAAGGTTTATAGGCTTTAAGACGCTTTAAGTAGGGTCTACAGGGTTTCAGTCTTGGGCTTGAGGGTGTTTATGTTGCTTTGAAGGTCCTGTAACGTACAAATTAGCTGCGTCGGTGCACCTTACACTGCTTAGGCTTCTCAAGTCCTTTGACCTGTTGGTTTTGCGAGGTTTTGGGGGGCCAGAGAGCTCGGCACCGGGCACAGGGGTGTGAAGGATGGTTTTTAATTTCCAGGCGGAGCCTCAGGGCCACTCAGCCCGAAATGCAGGCAAACCCTAGGCCCTATACAGGGTCCATGCTAGATTCTGCGTCCCATGGGTCCAATGTACTTGCATTCAAAACTTTCCTCACAGGCTTGGGCGCGTGCGATTCTTCAAGCAGCTGGCCAATCAGAGCTTCACGGAGCTCACAGGTTCATCTAATCCACTCGCAAGGGTGCGGGGACGGTTTGCTGTGATGCCATATGTTGTGGACTGGGACGAGGACTGTCCCGGAATCACATGTTCCATGTTTCTTTGAGGGTTTCAAACGGGCAGTATTACTAATTCTCAACCAGGTTTCTTCCGACACTCGTCCTCACAAGTATCGGAACTCTTTTTCCTTCTTGGCACCTTGTTTGTCAAGTGGACATTGGGCCCAAAATTCCATGAGGAGCCCTGGATCTAGACTGCACCCAAAACACGTCTAGGCAGGGTCAAAGCAACAGAAAGCTCATCAACATTGATCTTCACCAAATCGCTTGTGTCTTGCTTGCCTATGGCTCAGGGGCTTACACGGGCTTGTGGCTTGCCAGGACGGCGACACCGATCTCTTGGCAGGCGTTTACACTGGCGGCTTTTCAGGCGTGCTGCTCTTCAATAGAGGCTCATGCAATTGGCAAGACCTGTGCCTCTCCCGGGGCTTCACCAAAGGCAAGCTGGACACATGTTCCTGCATCCTGCGCTATGACATGAAGGACTGCTCTGGGTGCGATGAGAATTACTTCTCTGGCCCACCTGATACGTCATTGGCCCGAGAGTGTCTTGCCTGCCCAAAGGTCGCGCAGGGGGAAGGCGTCGCATGCTCGGGCAGAGGTCGCTGCCTCGATGATGCAGCGGCTCGTCAGCAGTTTCCGTGGAAGAACCGGCTGCAGCTGTCTACCGTTACTGGGAATGGATCCTGCATCTGCAACGAGCCATTCTGGGGAGAAGGCTGTGAAAATGGCATGTGTCCAGAAGGCCAAGAATATGGGCACGTGGAGGATCGTTTCACTTGTCATCCATGTTTTCCGGGCTGGTTCAAACCAGAGCCTGGCAACAGCGAGCGGTGCCAAGTTTGCGGAAGCGGTACTTTTTCTTCTCAATTCGGCAGCGCCTCATGCTCCTCATGCCGAAGCCCGCGATTTCGTTCTCGTGTGGACATTGCCCGCATCTCCTGCGACTTTGCGAACATCAACGTCCCTGTGGCCATCGGGGTCATGCTTTGTTCGGTGCTCCTTTTCCTACCGTTGCCGTGGATGCTTTGCCACAAGGTCTGTTCCTTCTTTAGGAATGCTTTCACAGTTGGAGAAGTACCGTAAACCGATACAGATTCCACCTACTTCATGTTTGAAACATGCGCACCAAAGATGATCTGGAGGTCAGGCTAGCGGATGTCAGGCTGCAGCAGGCTGGCGTTACCATTTCAACTACGGGAAGGCATTGGTTGCTCCCGCATCGACTTGCCAGCGTCATCTTCAAGCACACCGAAGTGCCCTGGTTCCTTATGAAGTATTCGAGCGGACTTTACTCGCGTTACACTTCCTACCGAGCAAAGGTGCTCTATGTTTAGCTTAGTTCCCTTCATCCCGCACTCGAACAGGTCCATCTCAAGCTTGTGGAGCCTTAATTTCAGGCAGGGCGGTATTGCCTCCCCCCTGCAGTGATCCAGCAAGGTGCCGTGGCTGGATCAAGGAAGCCATGCCGTCAAAGCCGTAAGCGAGCGCCAACTTCTGCTGTGCGACAAGCATGGGACGGCCGTCTCCGCGAGCACTGACACTCACACAAAGTAAACCCCAGCAAGGGTCCTGAAACCATTTCTGTGGATATCTGTGGATTTCGGAGGGCGGCACGTGGGTTTCCATCTCTTTCTTGGGGAAGGGTAGCTGCAAACAGATTGGCTAGAGGTGTTCAACGTTGCTGCCATCGCCAGGTGGTTTACATTTACCGTTTTTTGATGTGCCAGGGGGCTCTGATTTTGCGAGATAAGACGCGACAGAGCTGGAACGCCTAAACTCGACACGTATTGATTGCCAGCTTTGATTTTCAGAGCCTGGCATGCCTCCCAGTTTTGTGGTGTGCCTGCTGCCCAAGTTACTGTTATCGAGGTATTTTCCGTGATTTCCAATCCGTTAGCAGGCTAGCTGACTCACTGCATGGTAAGTTGGTTGATTGCCAGTCACCAGGACACATCCTGCGGGGTACTGCATTTCCGCGCTTGCCATTCTGCCTTCATGACCGGAATGCTTCTGGGCTGCACCTGGCTGAGCCTTCAAAACGTACGGAACTGAATGAAAACTGCTTCAACGGGAGCTAGGTTATGTGTTCCATTTCCCAGCACGCCAACCTCAATCGCAAAGTACAGGAACACGATAGCATCCTTTATCTAGCAGTACGCCAGCCCTCGTCTATTGCTAAAACCACGGAAAGTAAGGTTTGGCGTGCCTTTCATTTGTTGGATGCAGCTCTTTGTGGGCGGCTTGGTCGGCATCCTGTACATGGCAAATGTTTTGCAGGAAAGCATCGGCTTTTATGCCACCTATCTGGAGATCCTAATGATGGTGATCGGTGCCCTGGTTGCTTTTGCAGTGAACTGCTGGAGGACTCTGTGGAGTCCCTGTAGAAAGCCGGGAAGTATTGTGGGAGGTACATACAAGACCCTATACTAATAAGCCCTGTTGCGGAGTAGTCTCTAGCTTGCCCGCACGCCCTCACGAAACATACACCTCAAACTTTGACGGCCCGTGACCAGTCCCCACCACCCCATAGAGTGACAAGTGCGTATTATACCTCTATATAAGCAAAATATGGTGCCTACTGTATCTTCAGATTGTCGACAGTTCAGTTCCCATTTTTAGGCCGCTACACCCTAAATGCACTTCTGCCGATCTGAATTCATTAGGCCCCCGTGTACTGCGCCGGGTGCAACCCTAGCAACCCTAAACTTCTGAAGCTTTAAACCCAGCCAGCCGCAGGAACAAAGTCCTCAGCAAGACAGACCTGCAACGGGACCTCCTTGCCTTTGAGCATCAGCTGCTTCCTCCAAGCAGGATTGTGAGCGCCACATGCTGTTTTCGCGTGCAGAGTCTTTGAGTTTCATAAAGTTGTTTAGGCTTCAGTCCTGCAAAGCTTGCTGGGAACCTTATGCCTTATCCTCTTCAAGGCAATTTGTTTAGGGTGTTGTCCACAAACTTTGCACGGTCCTCTGGGTGGTGTTTATGGCTAACACCTTGGCATCTTTCAACAGTCATGATTCTCCTGTTCGGATAGAAGAATTCGATGGTGAAGGAATGTATGGGGCTTTGTTGGAGCTTCTAGCTGTGACCTTGCGGCACATGCAACGGATAACGAGCAAGGGACAGCGTATTGCAGCTGCAAGTCTGGTTTGTTTTTGCTCTTTGAGCTTCTCTTGTCGTTGGTAGGTCAGCCTCGGATGTCTGAAATCCTTCTCTGTGTATGAAGCTAGGTTGCAAGAGCTCCACCAGAATCCCCAGCCGCAGTGCGCCCGTGGGCAATGCCGCGCTATCACTGCCGGACAGCTCTGGGATTTCTTCATTTTCTGGCAGTCCTACATCTTCAATCGCAACATGTACCTGGGGTATGCCAACAACCATTTTCCATTTTTCGCTGAAGGCCTTGGCAAAGGCACCGGATGATTAGTTTGCACAGGCTTCTCCCAAACCCTGGCAGGTACTATGTGGTTTCCAACGTTGTCAAGCCACTGACTCGTCCTTGGAAGCTTTCATACGCGGAGCTGGCCGGGTCATGCTGCCTCCAATGGTTCGTGTCGCATCTTGGCTGCGTTTCTTTGAGAACACTGTTAGGCCGGTGGCACAAAAGGATCCATGAAAGTACGGGTCCGGGAGTGGAAGCACCCGTCGGTGACGGTTGCCGCCCGTTTTTGTTGTCCTCAATGCTGATTTAAGTTTGTAGAAGTGATAACTAGAAAGGGTGATAGTGATAGTTGACAGTCTACAGTGATGACTACTACTACTACTACTACTACCACTACCAGTGCTACTTGCTATCGCTACTGCTACTGCTACTGCTGCTGCTACCATTACTGCTCTTGCTGCTGCGACGACGAGTGCTACGACCACTACGATGATGACCATGATTATTATGATTAGTATCATTATGATTCTTCTCATTATTCGTAGTCGCGGCAGGAGCAGCAGCAGCAGCAGCAGCAGCAGCAGGAGTAGTAGTAGTAGTAGTAGTAGTAGTAATGGTGGTGGTGCTGGTGGTGGTGCTGGTGCTGGTGCCGGTGTTCGTGCTGGTGTTCGTGCTGGTGGTGTTCGTGCTGGTGGTGATTGTGGTGATGGTGCTGGTGCTGCTGCTGGTGCTGCTGCTGCTGCTGCTGCTGCTGGTGCTGCTGCTGCTGCTGCTGGTGCTGCTGCTGCTGCTGCTGCCGCGGTGCTGGTGCTGGCGGTACAGGTAAGAATGGCAACAGAAGTAGTGGTCACAGCAAGCAGTGCCAGCGTATCGGTGCTGATTATGGCATCGGTAGGAAGGCTTCTAGTCGGGCAGTATTCCAGGCAAAGATTTTTCATGTCAGTCAAAACTTTGTTTGAAGTGTAACCATGTCAATGTGGTTTCAGTCATTGACCCTGAAGCTGTAAGTCCTAAGCTGATCTGCAAAGGCATTACTGGGGCACTCCCTTCTGTCACTTTGTGGACACCATCCGTAAGCATGCGGAGACGTTATCAGATCCCAGCCCAGTGTCGTGGATGCTAGCCTTCTACATTATGTGTTCAAGGCTTGAGGGTGCAGGAGTTGGGGCTTATAAGGTCTAAATTTCAGAGCTGGAGTTCTCGATATTTTCAGGTAAATCTAGGCTGAGCCTCCGCAACACCACAAATGATGGTCATTTAAGACTCTCAAGTTAGGGGTGTGGGGGCATGTAGAACTTACACTTTTTATAGGTTGCTTAGGCGACTGTAGGATGCTGGCTTCCTACTGGATCTGCTCCTTCGCGAACAACCAGTGGCGTGTCGAGGAAGAGGTAGGAGTCTTGGTTCTTGTTCAGCAGACCTGGAGGTTCAGAGCATGTGTGGCCCAACTCGAGCCTAGGTATTTGTAGTTGTGTACTACCTACGCTGTAGACTACACTGTTTGCGCGTTGGCTATGATTGGGTCAAGCGTATGCCAGGATATGGACTTGTAAAGCGCTGACTAAGCAATCTTCTACTTCATGAACCAAGGTGTTAGTGCTTAAACGTGGCGAGCAAAAGGACCATGGGGTGCTTGATATGCTTTTATGTCTTGCTCCCTGCTGACCTGGAGTAGTTATGGTGACGTTGCGCGATGCACGCAGCTCAAGAACGAAGCTACCAGAACTCAGAGTGCCACCGTCAATCATTTGGCTGATTGTTGTTATTTTTCGGAAGCTTTCAGAGAAGCGTGCTTCAGCAGAGGGAGCGGGCATTTAGTATTCGTTTTGTCTCTTTCATGCAATAGGTTTTCCGAACCTCGAGGAAGAACATCACAGCAGCGCGAGGATTCCAACTACGGGCCAGTAGGGGAACCTCCAGCAAACCTGGTTTCCGTTTTCATCACCATGGGATGAAAAGATACAGTACATACTGTTAAGCCAAAGGAGCTAAATGCAGAGCTGTGTGTGTATAATATATACATATATGAGCAACGGTCAATACTCGCGCTTTTTAGGGATGAAGAGAGGGAATGCCGTGAGAAGGAGGAATCGCGCACAAAGCCCCAAAAGCGATAGGATCCCCCCAAAAGCGACACAGCTCAATCTAAGAAGAAGCCATGACTGTGTTTTGGCTGACCTCCTTAAAAGTGATACGTTTTTTCATCCCACGCAAGAACCCCCCAAAAGCGATAGGACCCCCCCAAGTTGTCCATGGCAGCGGGTTATGCAGGGAGTTTCGGCGAACGCTCATATGATATACACACATCTTAACTACCTGTCTAACTATAATGTGTATATATGTACATGATTATGAGCTCCTCTCTTCGCTTCTTGTTGTGTTGCTCCAAGAGGAGGGCTTTTGGTTGTGTTCCGGGGATGGCCCAAGATTTTGAATGCAACTGCAGCTCAGGAATGAGTTGGGAGCAGTCATCCTTCTATCTCGCCCTCCGAAGTGGCAGCTGCCAGGGCACTGTAATGGTCTTTGACAACGATGCCCTGCCACTGACAAGGTCCTGGAATGGATTCCGACAGACTAATGAACTTGATCTCCTCGAATAGGGTCCCGGAGCAATCAGACATAGGGTAATTATCTGACGCTGCAAATATTCAATGCAGAGAATGCAAACAGTTGTCCAAGAAAGTAGCTAGACGGCAGGAAAATCTGGTAGGTTTTAGAAATATTGTCGTCGTCGTTGTCGTCGTATGTAGATCGTCGTAGTTGGCGGCATTGGCGTCAGCGTGGCGTGGGCGGCGTGGGCATCGGCGGAGTGGGCGTCGCCGCCGTCGTCGTTTGGGTTGTGGCTGTGGTCGCCTTTGATACTAGCTATGTCCATCCTCTACTGCCACGACAGCCACCAGCACCAGCGGCTGCAAAAGCAGCATCGGCAGCGGCAGCAGCAGCCACAAGAAAAGCCATGACCACAAACGACGACGATGAGAACTAAGATGACTACGGGGAGGACAACGAGGACGTTGACGACCGCAACACCAAAGGTTCTCAGGCTTCGCGTCCTCCTAGGGAGCCGCATTGCGCCTTCCTTATTACCATTGCCTTATTTGGAACTTCGCATCCACCTCATCGAGACCGTCCGTCGAGATAGATGATAAACGCGCGCATGGAAAGACCTGGCACATTCAACCAGGAAACGGGAGGAACAGTTGAAAATAGATGTCACAACCAAAAACTAAAATCGTGGGTGTTAAGTCCTAAACCAATTCTGGATCCCTCAGGTCTTGGTGCCTGTTTGAGCTCCTCCAGACTGCCGTGCTCAGCCGAAACGAGCCGAGTCAGGGCTGTAGTTTATCCAAGCAGGGCCGCGACATTTCATTCATGAGGCCAAGCAAACCCCACTTACACCCAACAGGGTTGGCTTTCAAGACCAGCACCAAGGACTTTTGAAGGCCTTCAAATCTGCACCCCTTCCGGCGTCATGCAACCAGACTGCACACATGAGCATTTTTCAGGTATGTGAGGGCTATGGACCGCAAGAATGCTTTCGTAGCCTCTGGCCTGCAGGGTGCAGTTGTGGCGCAGGTTGCCCAAGATCTTATTTTTAGAACGTTGAGGCAATGAAGCAAGGGCGCCTCAACCCTACACCAAGAACCCCAAACCTTGAGCCCAGAATCCGAATTCTGAAAAACGCCAGGAACCAGGGGCAGACGAACATTGAGTTGGCAGTGGTGATCAGCAAGAAGCTTGCAGACCTGAACCTGCGGGATGCGCAGGCCAGCTGCCTCGAGGACTCCCTTTCCAATAAATTCTTAAGTGCTTGCAGTTTTTTGTTTCGTTTGGGGGTTCAAGGTCCACAGAGAGCTACTGCCAGCCGCCCACGTTTGCCGTAGGTGGTCATGATGGCGGGCTGGCATGATGGGCTTTTCAGCTCAAGCATATCCTGGCATGAGAGCGTGCTTGCCCGAACCCTGTTGACGCCCATGTTCAAGGGTATCCAATCCAGATTATCGGTCCAGATATTCAATGTTAAGAACTGCATGATGAGTCCAGTGGTCTTAGCACGAAGGCACAGCCATGCCTGCATTGACAGAGGCCAACCTGTCGTTGCACATATCCTCCTGCTTGCCGTTAATTAAGGCGGTGCTTCGGGGAAGATTCCGTACGTTACGCAAGAAACCCCCAGAACGACTACATTGCGGACGGGTCTTCCTGTTTGCGCTCACAGGTTCATAGCGTGGGGTTTCAAGGCCACATTGACATGTATCCAGCTTGCGGTAACTTTGCTTAGGACCTGTCCCAGTCTTTGCTTTGAAGGATCAACCGTCCCACCCGGAATCCATTTCCCCCTGGTAGGATAAGCACATGATTGACCGCCTGGTGGCAGCGCAACCCGGGGGCTTTGAGCAGGTCAACACATACCTCACGCAGGCCTTGGGGTTTGGATTCTGAGGCTTCCGTCTCGGGATTGAGGATTTGAGGTTGAAAGTTCACTGCCGGGTTCAAACCGGCCACCTGGGTCTCGCAGTCATTGCGCAGCAGACGTTGCTGTCGCACCATAGTAAAGCACAAGCGCTTTCCGATTTCAAGAGGTTCCAGCACCAGCATTTTCGAGCTCTGTGGAGTCTGGCGATTTGATGAAGCTACATGTTCTAAAAGGTAGCTTATCAGTGCGTGCGGGAGGAATTTTCGACAGCTTGGTGAACATTTCAATTGATTCTTCAACAGCATGTCGTGACATGATCGATTTAGTTTGTTGCGAGAAGTTTGTCTCCAAGCAATCAGCGCAATGAAATGAAGTTGAAATTGCCGAGCCACGTACAAGTTATAAGACTGATGGAAGAGGAAACTCCTGGTAGACAGAAACTTTCGACAAAGCCTGCACAAGCAAACTAATTTAGACCGAAGTTTGATGTCCCTTGAGTGCGTTCCTTCTGGGTGCTGTGTCCTCTTGCATGGGGTTTCCCTGTGAATTCTGTGAACACACTTTGCTCCAGGCCGTCAATGCTGCCTTGCAAGCAACAGCGCTGCGTTTCCAGGAGGACTTAACTGGCCCGAACTGATGTGATGCGCAGGGTGGCAACTCAAGTTGCTGGATGTGTGCTGTGTACAGGCGTTTAGGAAGGGAAGAGAGCATGGAGCTCAAGACTAAAGAGGCTTCAGATGAGTCCTGCGTTACAATTGTAAGAGTGGAAGCCATGGTTCCCGGCGTGGTCACGCAAAAAATTCTCAGTGCTTGGGAGATATGATTTGTCCAGTCCGCTTTCAAGGAAGCAGCTACCAAGTCTCGAAGGCTCATTTGTTGACAGTTCTAGTGAGATCCAAAACGCTTTGGTTGAGGTGTAGCCGAGGCTGCACCCGACGCATCCCACACGTTTTGTCATCCATTCCAATTCCCGCAGTCCTGCAGAGCCATGCTTTGCCACCAAGAGAGAACCCTGCAGACAACCAACCCCGACCCGCTACAAAAATGCAAACAGAAGCAGGACTTGCAGCACCTTCATCATCGCTTGGCCTCCAGATCCGGAGCCTTTCACACTGGGGCCCCGGCGGAGGGTCGCGAGGCCACGTCTTGGCTGGTGTTGAATTGTCCATGTGTCCAGGGATCGGTGCTGAGGATTGGCGGTTTGACCCCCGACGTATAGTTTTTGCAGTTTTGAGTGGACATGCCTGGGCCTAAGATCTCAAAACCCTTGCCCTCAAATATACCCCAGGAGCACAGCCTTCACAGGCCCTCAGCTGGTTTGCAGGCGGTAGGTGCGAGTAAACACCGTAATTGCAAGTTCAAGACGATGGGTACGTGCCAAAAATAAAGCCCCAATTGTCATCCAGAAGCGAACCGTACATGCGACCTTGGGGGTGTTTGCTTTGTTGTTGTCGATAACCTTGAAACCCCTTTAAGCCGTGAGGCCTTTGAGCGTCGGGCGAGGACCTTCCCGGCTCTCCTCGGGCGGCTCTCCTCGGTCCCAACTGGCAAAGACCGTGCTGACTTTAGCGGCTGTGCTAAATCGCATCTGGGCTGTACTTGGAAGTGCTGCTGCCCAAGGAAGAGTTGAAGACCCCCATTACACGTGAGACAAATCCAAGACGGGTACGGTACCATAAACACACACACAAATGTTGAAGCAGCCAAGGTCTCTGGCAGGGCCGCATCCTGCAGCAGAGCACCACAAGACAGTTGAGCAAAGTCAAGCTAGTGCGAAACTCTGAGGTTTCAGTCTCCGGCCATGTCGATGCAACGCCAATCCTGACTCAGACCTCGAGGATTGGACTCCAGCCTGCTAGTATAGTAGTTTCGAGAAAATTCCATAGCCAACACGTTGCGTCATGTCTTACTGAGGGCTAGCAGCCCAGTCTGGATACGTAGAGCCGTGCAATCTCGAACAGGCTGGATTCTCACGGCTTATACACAATGCACCATGATATCTGCATTGCACCGGCCGCACGTCTTAGCAAATCCTGCGATTCCAAGACCAAGTCAGTCTTATCGGGTTCTTGTTCTCACGATTTTGCAATGCACGAACACTTCTCTCAACAAGCTTATGGGGCCCAAAGGTTTTCCGAGGCCTCTCGCAGTGTACAGTGGGCTTTAGGGAGGGAGACGCTAAGCCACATAGGCTTACACTCCCCGTCTGTACCTGACGGCACTCGCTCCTCCTTTGCACGGCCCTTTTGTCAGCCTGTCTCGAAGCACGTTCTGCGACATTTGTCAAAAAAAAGAACCAGTTGGCTTCTGAAATCTCATTTCCATCTGGGGCCGTCCGCAGTACAGACTGGTGAAGGAAGGACAGCCTTGAGACATGCTCTTGTGAAGACTAGGCCAGGGAGCCTTGTGCTGGATCCAGTCCGAGCCGAAGCGAATGCACAGACCTGAGCACGTGTTGCGGCGCTGCCACGAAGCTCTCGTCTACTTTAACGAATTAAGGTGAATCCAGCTTGGTTGGCGGTGCTCTGAAAATACAAGCATTGCTCACAGGTGTTTAATTGCGTAGATACTATGAGAGACACTGATTTGAGCTCGATTTCTGTTCTGAATAGTATGGAGTTCATGTGGCATGAGATACATGCTACAAGGATGACAGTCTTCTGAGTAAAGGCCGACCTGCCAGGCATGTATATCCTACTACGTTTGTACAGGCACAGCTGCCTCTCTGTTTGGTGATCAGATCATCGCAGCCTTTCAGTACAGCTGAAGGGTGTTGCTAGGGCCGGGATTTATGAATGAAACTTATGACTGTCATGACTAGATTTTTGCAGGCTGGTATATTTCTATCTATGGTGCTTGTGCAGATCCTATCTTTCCATGGATCTTGCGTCCATGAGCCCTGTTGCGGCCCTGCTTGTAGACCACCTCACGGCCTCGAACGATTACCAAGACCAGAAGCAACATGTGCTGATATTTGTTGTACCTTGGATAGGTGCCTTGCCTTCTTGCCTCTGACAGCTAGGTAAAGGGCTTGGGAGTGCTGCGGGCTCCAGCATCTAACCCCTTTACAATCCATTGGTGGCCCTTGCACTACCCGATCTTTTATCTCGTTCATTGCGAGATGTTAACTCGATGCGCGGTTCGAGGCTTGTACAGTGATTTGCATCTGAGAGCCGCGAGCACGAGCAATGAACAGACATGCACGGAGGCGCCCCTGAAAAAACTGATCATTCGTGTTGTTTGTGCTGTTGTCATTCTGGTTGCCGTTGCTATTGCTTACCCTCGGTCTGTTGATCAATCAGGATGTGCCAAGTTTAGGGTGCGCGGTTAAAATAGCTGGTCCCCCTCACTGGCAGTAGTTGATCCCCTTCCTTGCGCCAAAGAATTCTTGGACATGCTACACATGGGCCAAAAAACTGCTCATTGCACAGCGCAAAGTAGGGGGCCGAGCCAGTGTTCGTGCTGTAGATCCCGCTTATGTGTTGCAGGTTTCACGGCCTTTTTACGTCCAAATGAGCGAGGCCCCTTGAGTACACTCTTGACGTTGTCCATGGGAAGCCCGCGGAACGTTTTGTTTTAGCTTTTATTGGAGTCACCCAGCAGCTCCAATTAATGAAGTTGGCTGTAATTATGTACCTTGAGTGTACCTTGTAAGTTCCTAGGCATGCATAGCTGAGGAATGCACCGATCAGATAGTCGGATCGGCACTCCAAGATCAACATGAATTTATGAACAGTCTCAGAAACTGTACGTAATCGGATGGTCACGCCAACATTTCTCACATCCTTGGGGTTATCTGGTGGTCTTCCGAGCAAGACTATACAGATATTACATGCTGAGGTAGTGCTGTCTAATCCTAATAGGATGGTGTGAGGAGAGATATGGCGTGGGCCGTTGTAGAGGGCATACGGCAAAATTAGCATACTATATTCGCTAGCACCCTGACTTCTTGGAAGCTCCGGTGTGACTTGAGGCTTTGATGCGGATGCCAACGACAAGCCCACGAAGTACATCCCCGAATCTCACATTCCAGTGGGGGTCCGAGACGCTGCTGCACAAAACTGGAAAGTCAGGTGCAGGGGTTTAAATGGTTTAGGGATAACTATTTTGAGCTTTTGGGGCTTGGGAGCCCTGATTGCCGGTTGAGCGGTCGCTTAACCTTAGGGTTGAGGAGTCAGGGTTTGAGGGCCTTCCAGTTGAGTTGAGGGTTTGTGAGTTTCGGTGTTTTGGTGTAGGGTATAGAAGACGCTACTGATTCAGAGTTTTGCTTCGGCAGCTTCACCTGCGGGGTGCTTGCTGTCCGTTGTAGGCTTTTCAGCTTTACGGGCCCTCACCGCCGGGCTCTTCAGTTGATGCTTGCTGATTTAGTTTCTCCTTGGGCGTACGCTAGCATGACTCCAACCAAGCGGCTTTCCAGAAGTGGCTCGATGTTTTTGCAGACCCAAGAGCTTGGGCCGACGGATTGGTTCTTATGGCCATGGCTAAGAGACTCGGTAGCCCTATCGAGGTCTGGTTTGAATCCCAAAACTTCTGGCTCAGCGTTTGTGTCGCCCCGGATTTTAGCGAAGCTTGCCCACAACCCACAACCCAGTTCCTGCAGTGTTTGTGCTCCAGCAAGAGCACTACCAACGGCTTAAGCTTAAAGCCCCAAGTCAAGGCAAAGTTCCTAAAACCTGGTTTGCTGAAAGTACTTTGCCCAAAGCTTCCGTGCTGCGAGCGAGGTGGGGCCCCTGGCTCAGGCTCAAAAGACCCCCAGCCAGGGACTCCTTCGGTCCACAGCTGTAGAAGTTGTGCCACCCCTTCTCTTCAATCGCTCAGGACTTACAGATCTTCTGCGCCCAGCTCGTCCCGTAACTGCCCTAAACCCTTTCTCAACGTAGATCCGGGAAAAGGGAAGTTTTCGGGGATGATGCTACTGAAGTTTGTGCGGGACGTGAAATGGTCGGTTTTTCCGTTGGTTTTGCTGCCAGTTCTCGGAAGGCGCCCACGAGCTTCAGTAAGCCTATTGGCCGTCAGGATTCCGAAAAAGATCGTGGGGAATGGGTTATCAAAAAACCTAAAGTTTCAAAGCCCCAAACCTCGAACCCTGAAGACAGCACCGATGCTGGAACGCCTACCGTGCACTCGCTTGCTGAGAGTGCAACAGCAGGGCGGCAGGACTTCCACCCCCCTTTGCCCCGTGGGGAGCGACCTGCCAAATGCCTCAGGCTGCTTGGCAAGCAAAAAGGTTTTCGCAGCATGGGGAAGCCTATGCTGTGGAGGGCCTACGGCTGCATCCTGCAAGGCTGTTCCATCACATGTGGCTTTGGCTGACAGTGACTCATCTGCAAATGACATTGACGAAGAACAGAGTGGAGACGGCCTGATGCAAGAGCCTTGGGTGTGTCCAATCTGTCAAGCTCAGATCCGTGTTCTGGCTAAATCGCTTGCGGTTTCTAAGAAACATCATTGGCAGTCCCGGCATCCTGACAGGCCCCTTGCTATGATTCAAGCTGAGAAGCCCCTGCAGGTTTGCGCTAGTGAGCAAATCCCTATTGGGAATAGGGAGTGGGCTTGTCCTGTGGAGGTCTGTAATGCTGGTTTGCCCCCCCTTGCCTCTCAACCTATGAAACGTGCTAAGAGGAAACATACCACTAGTCATGGCTACACTCTCCGCCAGTTGTTTGCTTTGAGTGCTAAGGGTAAGGACAAGTCTGGGACCTCCAAGGCTCCTACGGCTGGCCACAACAATACCAGGCTTTAAAGGTTCAGTAGCCACGCTGTTGTTCAAGTTGAGCCTCGTGAAAGACTCGTCATGGGCCATCGTGGTATGGCTTACTACTGTAAGGTGTGTTTTGCTAAGCTTGGTAAGACCACCCAGGTTCACGAGCTCCTTCCCTGTGCTGAGAGATTTGAAAGGTTTCGCACCAATGGTTTTTCTCTGAACATTAAGCGTAGCTGGTGGAAGCACCTTCAAGAACAGGAACCTGTTCACGCTGCTAACTTCTTGGCGGCTCCAAGGCATACATGGATGATTTCCTCAAAGTCGGCCATGAGACGTATAGCAGTAAAAAATGGAAGTGCATTGTTGCTGCAAAAGCCAAAAGCAAGCCGGGCCTTCTTAAGGGTCCCTGGACGGCAGGGGCCAATCGCAAGCACAAAACTTCCGAACAGGCCTCACCTAAAACAGCGCCCAGACCTTTGCGAAGACTGCCAGGCCCAAGGGCTCGAGGACCTCCAAGATTAAAGCTAGGGCCCAGTAGTGGTAGTAGTAGTCGTCGTCGTCGTCGTTGTCGCCGTCGTCGTCGCAGCCTCCCTGGGCCGGTTGCCGGCACCAGAGCTCCCAGTCATTTGTTACTTTACAAATTCAACTGTCAAAGGGCCCCGGGTGCTTCGAGAGTGTTTAACCAGGTTCTGGCCCAAGAGAACCCTGACGTGGCTTTGCTTCAGGAAGCTTGTCTTGCCCCCACTCAGGTCGCTGGTTTCGCTAGGGACTGTGCCAAGAAGGGTAAGCGGTACACTGTTTACTCCCAGTCCCCCAAAACGGGGCGTAGCGGAGGTGTGCTCACTCTTGTCAATAAGGCTCTTCCGCAAAGGCCTGCTTTGAGACTCTTGACAACGCCAGCCTTCCTTTACCAAAGTTTACATCGACGACCGCGCGTTGGTTGATGACTCCCCACAGCGGCTTGCAGCTACTTGGGACCCTTGGTTGCAATGGAGTCGAAGTTGTGGCTTGCTTGAAAACTCGTTGAAGACCTGGGTGACGGGCGCAACGGCCAAACATCTTGAACACCTCAGAAAGTAC